TGTCGTGTATGAATTTTACATTTAAAAATATTTAGACTTTGTGTTCACGGGTTTATACGAGGTTAGTTCCGTAGTGGGAATTATAAATTATTCTTTTTTAAGGAAAGAGTAGTCGCGAATAGATGTTTCACCCGAAGCCTAATGAGGGAAAGTCGCTACGCGATAATACTAGAGCAGATGTTGGGATTTTCCGAATACCATACTGTATAATTAGCGTCATTCTGGTGACATTCAAAGTTTACAGGGATATTAGGCTAATAAATTACACCATAGGAGGACCCAGGACATCCCCTTTTAGAGAAGATAATATCAACCGAGAAGACATTCAATAAGCTTACAAACTTTATTAAAGCCGTACGGTTGAATATGGTTTAAATTCCATAGAATCATGAATTAATAACGAGCTTGAGACATTTGATAAAATTTTGTAATAAATGTTATTTGTTTGAAAAGAAAAGGCTGATATTTCATTGTATTGCCATCAATTCAGTAAGTAGTAATTTCGACAGAAGTTCCAGGAATCTTGATTTTTTCCGCGTCCACGTGCAACAGGTAAGGTGATGAATGTTGTACGTTGAACTCATACAAGATCTTAATAGAAAAAAAATAATAGCTAGCAAACTATGAGTAATTAGAGCAGTTGATATGAGTATAGCTGGGCAAATTAAATTATAAGAATCATAAAAACGTTACAAATGGTTGCCCAGCTTGGGGAATAATAAAATAAGTTAGTTAAAGATAGTTGATAAATTAGATAGGTTTAATTACGTTACAAATTGGCATGCCCAACAGTGGGTAGGTTCATTTTGTTTGTTACACATGAGTTTATACGTATAGGAAATATAGTTTTGGTTTAACAGTAATAGAGTTCGGACAAGATACCCTTTTCGCTTACCGCTGTGGGTTTTGACACAAAAAAATAGTTACTAGGAATTTTATTTAGATTATGAATTTTTTTGAAAACATCTATGTTTCTGAAAAATATATCGATATGAAGAAAATAACGAAGTTAATAGATCGATGTGTTTGGTCGAAAATATCGACGTTTTAAAACTGTTTCTTTTCCATCCCTACTTCTGATAGTAGGTGAACACGTCTACCATTGAAGGAGAAGCCTGAAGCAACCGACCAATGAGGTACGAGTAAGTAGCCACAGATAAATACTCTGTTCATTTGTTTACATCAGGATCACAAGACTGAACGAAGATTGAACGTTGGCTTTCCCAGAAGGTCATCCGTTAACTCCACTGAGCTGTGTTAAAGTTTTGACTGCCATGTGGGCGCCAGAGTGGTGATTCACAAATCTGTCCCATCAGCCCACTCTGTGGCGCTAGTGGATAGTTGTGTGTGAAGGGGCTCGTTGACGCTAGAGACTCCGTGTGAAGACGGAAAATCGCCCATAGAAATTAAAACGTAGAAAATATATGACGTACAATGGGGAAAATAATACTGGGCCAAGACACTCTTACTACCCCTATAGGTGAGGGGAGGTGAAACATTTATTAAGAAAATGATTATGCAACGAGCAAGGCACTTTTTCGGCGGGGGGTAGATAGCGTGGAAGGTCGGGGCGAGCAAAGCAAGGGTTGGGTAGAGCAAGCGCAACGGGGATGGCGGAACTGAGAAATAAATGCCCCCCCTCAAAAAAAAAATTACAAACAACTATTTAACCACCAAAGAGATCGCTCCCAAATTTGAACTCTAAGAATTGTTTCAATCGATTTGTCTTCGAGAGGAATTGAATGAGCCAATGATCACATGTGTAGGTGCCATAAGTTACTCAAAACGCTTTTTATTTTCTTAAAACGCCCCGAAAGCACCCTTTTACAGAAATGTCTTCTCAAATATTCTGGATGAATCCGTAAGAAATGATTTGTTCTCCGTCAAAAGACGGAGACACGTTGAACAAAACTTCATTTCCCTCGATTGATGAACCGGGATGGTCATACCGTGAGTGACAGAGGGACGCAGGGTTACTCGATTACTATTTAAGGACGTTTTAAATTTAGATTGAATACAATCAGTTTCTGAAGAAACTAATATTAGGTTCGGACACTGCCCGACTCCAAATTGAGAAATTTCGTAGCCGATGTCTTCAAAACCTGCATTAGACACTTTTCACCTTACTGAAAAAGTAAAAATGTCATGGTTTCCAAACAAAAAAGTGTGATGCGGCTAAAAGCCAGCACCATATGTTCTTAAAAGCAGCCATTCTAACGTTTGTATATATATCGCACAAATACCTTAATATCGTGGTTACATAGAGAAAGTGGGCTAGGGATTTGAAGGGATTACTGGTTGATTAATTTAAATTGGTATTGGTATTTTTCACATGTTTTGGAACTTATTGAAGGTTTCGAAAAAGTAGAGCATATTTAGAGAACTACTGGCTCTTTTGAATAGATAATTATTCTCTCAAACAATCTCAACATTCGGACATATTCTATTACTTTGACATTTTACTACCAGGTGAACTTTAACACCGTACTCTCATTCACAGACAGGCACACTAACACGCACTAATGCGCACAGGAATACCTACATTTCGATCTTTCTCGTGTTGCATTATGCCATTGATAAACTCTAAACGTCCGAATACGAAAGTTGCTTCATTAGAAGAACTTTATTTCCCCAGAAGCGGCGACGTGAATTACGCGGAAAGCCTATTCACTTGTCATGCATAACTCTACCTTTGAAACGGAGGAAAGGTCATACGCAAATAAAGTGGACCGACACGTCTGGGTTTCATTCTCTAGAAGTGAGAAAACACAAGGTCACATACGCGCAAATATTACTGTATGTTGGTTATTTCATCGGCACATCTCTTATCATTGATAATGTATTTCAGTTAAATTAACTTTTGTATTAAAAACAGTACGTTTTGGATTTTTTGTGGAGAACACACATTCACTTCCGTAAAGTAGTTAAAGAAACCCGATGTATAAAGTACTTAATTTTAATATATAAATAAATGTAGTTTTGAGAATGAAATACTTTCCTGGAAAATGAATGGAGTGACCTTTAAGCAATGATAACTCACTATCTCATGAGGAAAGTCAGAGGTATTTGAATTCAAAACACCAAATATTACTGATTCATTTTTGATATTTGAGGTATTACTGATTCCTTTTTGGGGAAAACTAAATGAAAAAAAAGCTTTAAATTTATGTAGTTTATTCAGAAATGGATTATAAATGAACCAACGAATTGAATGACAAAAATATTTTCAAAGAAATCTTATGTTACAGTAACTAAGAAAATAACAATTTTCAGGGACATTACGTTATCTTCATTTATTCCACTATTAATTTTGTGTATATTCACACAATTTTCTGTAGAGTTTTTCAGTTACTTTGCAGTGCACATCTGCAGTAGCTTTGTCAAAACGTCTGCCACTCGAACTTCTTCGCATAGATTGCTGTTTTCCATTATTCTCTTTCTCCAGTTGAAGTTTTTCCCTGTGTACGCTTCTTGAATAAAATTTATAGTTTGTTCTTTCTCGTATAAGATGTCGATATTTTAGCGGAAATACAAGCTTTTGGGAGTCCCTGTTAACGGAATTGTTACTATTTTTGTTTTCAAGAACGTCTGTCCGTTAGCGCCAGAACCGTAAACAGGATTTTCTTAGAAATACCAAATATTCCTCGATGAATCTTGTCGAACTCGATGCGCAGCGAATTTGAAACGTTTCCTTAAATTTTTGGGGGTGATTTATTCGATACCCTAGGATAATTTCGACATTATCCCAAAATGTCTTCAAGTTGTGCTGAAACAGAGGAAATTGCAGTTATAAATATGGTACATGTTCTATTTTCATTTAAACTCCTAAAATATTGTAAAAGGCAATGGTTCAACTTTTTTCGTGTTCTCTCTTATTATTTAAACTAGAGATTTTTCTTAATCGTAATCTGTATCTCTACGTAAGATCTTAATACCATTTCATGTGTAATCGGTATGTACACTTCATTTTCAATCGCGTACGAGGAATGAAAATTTAACAATGAACTCTACTGATTTATATTATTATAAAAGAGAAATTAAATAAATAACAAATATGGCGATAGAACGGACCAACAACTTTTAGATTTATTTACAAAGGAAAAAGTAAAAAGCTTGTGATATCTTATTATTTTCCTCTTATCTGAGAAATTAATCATTACTTTCTGCGTCTTTCCCCCAAAGTTCAACATAATGTTGAACATTTATTATATCAACCTTCGGACCAATTGATGTCGAGTTAATGTCGGACCAATTGATGTTAAGTTAATTGAAGGGATTGATAATTTCCACATTTTTTATCTCCGTATTTCACAAGCTCTTCTGAATATACTCGTACTTCCATGATACCACAAACTCTTTCTTACCATTCAAACGAGTGACACATATCGTAGTGAGTCGTTACAGGTGGTTCGTCCTCTAGAGACAAACCGATATAATTGCAATACTCATAAATGGAGATTTTTCGCTTATGACTACCCGGACATCTTTATATAATACTGTACTCTAATGGACAAACATTTTCTGCGATAAATATTCTATAAACAGTGCTGAAAAGCGCATTAAAATACACTTGGGAGCTCTTTTTTTTAGCGGCCCTAGAAAGAAATAACAAAGCGAAACATTGTTTGTGATAGCAAAATAGATGGTTTCTAAATCGTATAGGAGATAGATATTTTATCGTAATGCTTTACTGTTATATCGTCTAAACGGAATCGGATGAATGAAAAGCCACTCAACGGCCGGCGGAGTCCGTTGAAAATTTTAATAGTCCGAAGTCCGTTGAGAACAATAGGATAAGTGAGTAGTCAAAGATGGCGTATGTTACACTTATTCCAAAAAATGTTTTTTCTTGTTTATGTGATTTGTATTTCTTGTAAGCAAATTATATTAGATTGAACGGCACACGATTACACAAACGACAGATACTGTTTTTATTTGCTGTTTGTCGACCTAATGAATTCAATAACTGTTTATTATAAAATATGAAACTTTATACGTAGTTCATATCAATATCGGCCACGCGGCATCGACGCGGCGGATAGCGTCTGCTGAGGCGGCTTGGGCGGGAGCGGCGGCAGGGAGACCGGCTCCCGCGCGATCAGCGCCACCTACACCTTGCCGTCACCCCAATCAGCTCTCTTCAAACGCAAGACAAACGGTTTGCAGGAAACGGATCTCTTCACGATACGAAGACTAAAAGGCTGGCGCTCAATCACAAAATTCCTCAGAGCTGGGCACATGCAGTACCACGGTTTTTTTTTTTTTCTGAAAAGTTTCATTTGCAAATATTGTAAATTCCGAGAGTTGAAGACTGTACTACATAGTAAGTAATTTATTAGTTATTAGTGCTTTTAATAAATTATTATTTAATAAAAATGTTTTATAATATCTTCAATTAAGTTTTAAATATTATTTTGTATTTAAAAACCATTTTAACATTCAGATATAATGAAAGAGGAGTGTGTTGAAATATACCCTGTATCAAGGGCGGAGGCAGGTGCGCCCAGGTTCCCGCCTCCTTAGATTTGTTCCTTGCCGGAGGGTATTCTAAATTCTGAATGAATTTTCGCCAGATCCAGCTAGATCAGATAAGACATAATTCACGTGTTTGAAATAAAAGATCTATGACTGACACAGTTTATTGCCCCTGTAAGAAGCGATAATAATTTCCTTAGAAAGTCTTTAACATATCTGTAATACTTCTAAGTATCTTTCTGGGTCCACCTTCGTCATATCATTTATGAGTGCTGCTCAGTTGGCCTTTATTAGGTTAGTTAAAAGTAGGCATATGTCCTTCTTTATTTTTATTTCAGCCTTTTAAATCTGAACATTAACCTTTTTCTCATCTAAAACACGCTGATAATATGAGGAAATATTCTATAAATATTGTTTTCTCTTGAAAATTGCAGTATTCAAGCAAAATAGTTTTCAATTACAATGAATAATGCAGTAGATATCTGCAGTAATAGGAAAAAGAGAATTATATTATATGACGCCTCAAATATTTTTCATTAGAAATGTTTCAAAAAAAGGTCCGTCAGGAGTATTGCCCAATAATCTGAGAGAGATACCTTCACACAAATACAATCACAGAATTTCTGACACATAAAATAATATAATTCACCGTCGCTTACCAGATATAGTGAACACGTCCTTCACTTTTTCAGGCGTTCGTGAGCATTACTCATGTATTTGGCGTATTTGAAACATGAGCTTTTGCGTTTTTATTTTATTATATTTTAATATTATAAAGTGCGAAGTGTGTTATGGCAATCTTAACATTGATTTTTATTGTAGTATCAGGTTAGAAAATAAAAACAGAATACTTGATTTTTTTCGATCGTCTCCTCGAATTAACCATTGAAAGGCAAAAATTCCTTTCGAAATTACGAATCATTAGACAATATTTCATTTATTTTTCTACAGAAAGCCTGATACAAATGTTTTATTCAGCATCCTTAAATGCGTAAGACACGCTTTGATACTGTTTCTTGATCGTCTGTGCAACGATGATTGATGAGCGGCATGGTAACGGTTATTACGTAACTGTTTGCAGTTACCCAGTGCGCTCACGGATTCTCTTATATCATAATCTGAAAAATTCTAAATTTTTAATCTTAAATCTATTTTATTCATCCCTAAAGGATGATGCCCTATAGCACATTAACGTGATATATTTTCGACGGAGTCATACATTGTTCAAACCCGCCATCTTTTCTTGGCGTATAATGTACATTTGTTGGACAAATGCGAACATTCCACCCTTTACAAACCATGGTATTGAAAGTGAAAATAGATTTACACTGGAATCCAACTTTGATTTTTTTCCCGACAATTAGAGCTATATTATAGCAAAACCTTCTAAAAACCTAATAGGACATCAAAAAGGTATCGTTTTTTAGACAGTTTGAGCGTGGTGTTAAGGACATATCGTTTACTAGTTATTCACGCTGACGGCAGATTATTACTTGTAATAATTAATACATGATGAGAAATGTAATGTAAATCACACAATTACACATATGGTATTTACCCCTCATTGGTAAGCAACCCATTCTACAGTAGTGTTTAGCGGGTAGCGTTCTGACTTGGTAAGAGGTATTTCGTGTACCCATCAAACACCACTGAATGATAAGTTGCCTGCCCATAATGGGGTGAATGTCACATGTGTAACTTCGTCATACGGTATTTCCCACTTCATGGTCTAGGGATGCGGTCATGCTCAAATCTCTATCCCTTTAATTTAATTTTACACGGACCGCCCCTGCTTCGGAATGGAAGTACCCAGAAGTTATACATAAATCTCAAAAATGTAATAGATTCAAAAAAGCCTTATTTTGTGTTTTGCGTCTTAAGAAACAAAACTTGACACACACGTGCTCCCCGCCTTTTTTCTTTGCATGTTTTCCGCGCGTTTTCCATTGCTGCCCATAGCCTTGTGCTCGACGAGAGAGGAGGAGCTGTAGTCTAATAGTCTTAAGCATGAAAGTAGTCTAATGCATGTAAGCGTCTGTGTGTATAAGGGGAAGGATAGGACAAGGAAGAGGAAGGAAAGGGCGTGCCCGGTCCGTGACTCTTTTGGTAGTGAACTGCTCCGGCATTCATGTTACAGCATTCTTAGTTACACAGCTAGTATCGAAAATTCGTCGGGACTCGAACCCAATTATCTCCCGGTCAAAGCCTCTGCAGAATCAACAGCAATATTGAGTATGTTCCTTGATGGATGAAACGAGACATTTTGAGAAGCTAGAATGTCTCGAAGAGCCATTTTTCTAATGCCCCAAATTCGGAAGCTTCTGTCATCCCGTGCATCGGAGTGGCATTTCACACAAAACTGTATCAGAGCACCCAAACTGGTCTCGTTTTATAGACTACGACATAAGAAACATTACTCATGTTTCAGGAGACACGAAAGAGTGTTTTTAATACTCATTACATTGCTTTTGTGAGCTAATATGTCAATGGTTTCTTATAAAAAATACAAAACTGTCATCTTTCCTTAACGTATTATAAAAGGAATTTGCTTATTTTCAAGTTACAGCAAGTTTTGAATTAGTCTACATTTACTTATGCATAAAGGAGCAATAGTAACGTAGACATGGGTACAAATTGTAATAGTATTACTGTTCAACAACGTTGACCAACATTTATGAGTGGTTTACTTTGAATTTACTGTAGTAAAACTGATAATATAGAAAATGTGAGAACCTTTTGTTTTTATTTACTTTCTTTCGCTCAGACCGTGTTCGTCACAATTATGAGAAATCCCTTTCCTCTCCCTTTTCTCCCTAAAAGCGAATTCGTTGCTTTGAATGGCCCTAAGGATCTTGAAACCGTTTACCAAGAGATTACTTATTGCTTATTGTATTTCATTATTAATCTTCATGCCTTGTTCAAACACTGGGACGTGAATAATTTGAATTTCGTGATTGGTTCTTCGAATTTTATTTTTCTTGACACCTTTGATAGACACAATGTTTACGTACCTTTATAACTTGATTATTACGAATCAACTATCTCGATGACTGGAATGTTTATATTCTAGTTATCTAGAATGTTCTTTTTTTAACTGAAGATCCAAATTCAGATGAAAAGTCGGCGTGCGCTCTTTACTGTGTTTCTTGTTACATGAGGCCAGAGTTGACTGAAAGCTGTTTCGAATTTCCTGAAACCATGCCCATTGATACAATTTAAATTTAATTTTGTTTACAAGGGTGCGCGACGTCGCGACGTGTCCAATTCCCACACATCCTTTGCTCCCCGCCGCCTCTTCTCACAAAGTCACGGTCAAAGGCCTCTCTGAAGTGCGCCCTGACACTCGGCCAATTCGAAAGAAATAGTTTCACAATGTTCTTCGCAACTCTTACGGCGACAGAATTCTCTCCAAGCGATTTGCGAGCACAAGCTCCTTGACAAAGTAGCACGTATGGTATTACTTTTTAATTGCACTTTTACTGCAAAGTCCAAGGAACGATTTTACCCCAATGATGTCCGTATTGTTATCGGACCCCTAGTATACTTCATTTTCGAAAAATGATACATTAAATTTGTATCATTGCATTATAATCTACCAGCCTAATTCAGGTATATTTTCCACATATTCAAATCAAGGAATAGGAATTGCAAAGTTATTGAAGTTGGTAAGTATCAGAAGTTGCTAAATAATCTTTTGCGAAAAAATATTTAAAAATCGCAATGTAATTTGAAATAGATAAAGCAACAACTTTGCTATTTTAGCTTTTGCATTTAAAAAGTTTAAATGTTGGCAATACGTGTATTTATGAAATCTCATCGCTTTAACTTTTCGGGGGAAAAAACTAACTAGTTTTTTTCCTAAGAAACCACGGTTTGCTTATGAATTATGGCATTTTTTGCCGTGCCAGACATCCGATCTTGGCGCTGGCAAACCCCGACTGAGTGACTGCCTCGTTTTGCCTCGAGTCTCCTAGGTTTTAATGGAAAACATTCCTTCCCGACATATTTCAACTTCCCTTTCAGCTTCTGAGCTCACTCGCTCTGCGGTTGAGAAGTATGGAAAGTCAACAATTTGAGGTGGGATGAAAAAATCTTAAGAGATATCCAATCGTCTTTTCGACTCCCATAAACGAGTGCAAGCGTTAACTACTTCGGTTAGTCACCCCTCACGGCAAGGGAAGACCCTGTGATTCTTTCTTCAAAAACCCCAGACTTCGCACGGGAGAGCGATGAAGTCGAGGCCACTAAATTGCCACGGCGTCAGGATGTTGCTTGATGAGCCATTGGGCTTCTGTCCAAGAAAGCCGGCAACGAGAATGGTTAATGCTTTAAATATTTCAACAGAATGTCCGAGGAGAATTGAAGTAAGAACACTCCTGGGAGTGCCCTTGTGTCATGGAACTGGTATTATATAAAGAAACAGGCTGTTTCATGAAAATGAAAAGAGAAACTTTCTCGTATTCAGTGCGTGTTCGGATACCTACATTCTTGAGCCCCTTAGTCATTTTGAGTAGACACCTTCGTGCATTATATTTATGAAGTAATTTAGTTGACATTTTCTGCGTTTGACCGTTGAATTAAGCACATAGGGAAAATATGATAAGAATGAAGGGGATTAAATCTGTGGTTACAGGGCGAAAGTTTTTAAACTAAACCCATCTACTTAAGAACTTTTACCGAGAGCCCACAGAAATATTAATCATCACATTTGATTTCGTGATAGGACTGAGACCAGGTTCGATACTATTAATCGCCTCTATTCTCCCTGTCGATTTAAATGTATAGCGAGCGGAATCCTTGAGGTGGGCCCTGTCGCGAGTGGGGAGCACGCGCGAAGGAATTTCGCCCACGCGTGGATTTGTGCGCGAGGCGAGTGGGCCGC